ATCAAGCTGCGCTAGGCTTGGTATACTCGTAATTTTTGTGTACTGGTTAGCATGACCAGGTATGTGGGTTCGCATATCTGTGGTTGACTCGTCTGAGTCACATGCATAACATACTCAAGGGGTCGTATGATTACAGTGCGAGGGATTACGCATTCATATGTATGGCAAGAGCGGCCGACACGTCTTGATATGTCAACACTCATAACCAAGATCTCGATTCCGAGGTATCGATTCTACATCCCATGAAAAGCATCCAATCTTTTTTTTTAAAGTTACTTTCTCTAAAAAATATTTTCAGATCGAGAGTACCGACTTTTGATATTCTATTAATAGCCGCTGTTTCTTTGTTCAGGATGCCTTCACGACCACTCTGGCAGTGGCTTTAGGAGTGACTGACTCGTCCGTCAATATCACCGCTACGAGTGAGGGGTCGGTGAAAGCCTATTTGGCCATTACTTCTAGCACGTCCGAACTGATGACCGAGAAGGTACGATTATATATATGTGTATATATAAATATATTTATATATATATATATATAGAGTTTTTAAAATGTTTAGTCTGTGAAGGCAGTTCAGCAGTCACGTTTATGTGCATTATGTCTGCTATTTTTATTCAGATTCTTGGTGATATTGCTCATGATTTGTCCATAACCTAGTAACAGGTGGTGCAATAATCACGTATCTAATTTTTATAAATGCATATTTGTTCTGACTGATTCCTGTTTATTCGTCCACTAGGTAACCGCCGGCGATGCAACAATCACTGACATAGGCGTTATGTCCGTTACTAAAAATGAAGACGTTATCATAAATCCAGCATATGCCAGCACCACCCCAGGTGCGTTTGTGTATCATCACTATCGGTTAACTTTTTGGGCTGTAAACATATGGAAGGAATAACAATCATATCATAAATGGTTTCGCGTGCTTTTTAATATGGGATGAGCGTTGATTGCAGTATGAATATATACAAATGTATATGTGCATGAAAATTATATATATACTATATAGATGTCTTTATGAAAAAATAGTATATATGGTCAACTATGAATCATAGTATAAGCGTATGCACGTGTAATTGTATCAGAACAGATTATTAGGTACAGTATAAATGTATGCGCACATATTGATATAAAAGTATACTACGTATAGTATAAACGTATACACTAGTGATTTTTATATATACATACATACATACATACATACATACATACATACATACATACGTACATAAATACATACATACATACGTACATACATACATACATACATACATACATACATACATACATACATACATACATACATACAGACACGAAACATTTATACATATGTATACTCACACACATAAACACACACACACACACACACATACATACATACATACATAATTACATA